CCTGACCCTTACTATATTACTATAACCCTTACTTTCACCCTAACCCTGCCCTAACTTTCCCAATAACCTTTTCCTGTAATGCTTACTTTCTTACTTTCACACTAAACCAACCTTTACAGTATCCCACCCTGTAATCCCCTTTCTTCACACTAACTCTCCATATAAGTAGGTAGAAATACATGTATTTCACCCAAACTTTCACACCAACCCTCTCTTTAACCCTAACCTCCACACTACCCTCCCTGTAACCCTAACCTTCAAACTAAGCCTCACTGTAACCCTATCTTTCACAATAAACCTCCATGAAACACTAACCTTTACACAAATCCTCCCTGTAATTGGTGAGAAATATAATTGATGCAACCCTAACTTTCACACTAACCCTATTTGTAACACTAATCTTTCCTGCAACCATTTTCTTGACACAAACCCTCCCTGTATTCCTATACCCTCCCCGTAACCTTAAAAAAAGAGACACAGGCTTTGGGGACAATGTTTCAAATCAATGAGACTTAAGCACATACATAACATGTACTAGAGACTCTGGCTCTGCTACAGTGGGCAGAAGCTTGTATACAGGGGTGCTGACATAAATTAAAGTGTATGCCAAGGCAAAATTAGGAAAATAAATATGCAGTTTGTACCATGGGGTTACTTTCTACCAGTGGCGTAACAACCGGGGGGGCAGCAGGGGCGTGGGCCCCGGGCGAAAAGTGAAGGGGGGGCGCCGGCCGAAAATGGCACTTTCGGCTAAATGCCGAAATTGAAATTTTCCTGCTGTTTTGTCGGCGCGGCCGTGATTCCTTTCATCCCCGCCGGGACACAGAGCAGTGCCCAGCAGGGATGAAAGGAATCAGAGAGAAAATGACAGCCGGCCGAGCGATGAGGGACAGCGCTGTGAGCGGCCGGTGTCTTTCCTCCCACACCGCTCGGCCGCCTATCACAGTGCAGCAGAGCAGTGTGGGGGCGGAGACATCCAGCGCTGTCACAGGAGGCTGGTTTCTACAGAGCAGTTAAGCCCTTGAGGCACAGAATTTCTATTCTCTTCAGTTTAGGCCGGTCTGAGATCTGCCGCCTGAACACCAGGCTCGTCTTCCACACAGGTCACAGGTTTAGCTCCAATTCCAGGGACACAGCGACTTCACATTCATCTTGCTGGGGCTCTCCAGGTTCCTGACACAGGAACATACAGTCCCAAATCACCCGGGTGGCACTAGTGAATGTAAAGATCATCATCTGCACTATAGGCACCACCTTGGGAAAACTGAGTGGGATCCAACCTGGCAGAACCAGATTAATCAGTGCTGCTATAGAGCCCAAACTCTTTACCAGTGTCTGTTCTCTTGTCCCCTCACACAATTTCTTCCACCAAGAGGACTCCCTCAAAAATCTTAAACAAATATCCAGACAGAAGGCTATTCCTCTTAAAGGATGGTAAATGTCTCACTTCACTAATAAAATAAAGTATACAAAATCCAACAGCAGACAAAGGTTGCTGTTTCTTCATAATCAATCACTTAATTTCTTGCAAAATTCCACAGCTCCAAATAGAGTGGCCCAATATTCACACAGTTTAGATAGGCATCCCTTCTCCCAATAAAGGGGCAAACATTCTCCTTCCCTCCCATCTGCACCAGTGAGTAGTCCCAACACTCCCCCGAAGGGTAGCACACAGTAGAGTACAATAAGTACTTGCATATTGGCTACTTATGTGATCCCTGTGCAAGAGTTCCTGCCCTACTCATTGCTTATATTGAATAACAACTAACTGCACCCCCCAACTTCATCCACTACACTTTAACTCCCCAACAAGAAAGTTTTATAAGGGATGCTGTCTAGTAACTATTTAGGGGAACCCTAAACTAAAGGGCCCTAAACTGTCTTACAAGTACATTTCTCTAATACATGCACATTTTCCCGTGTTTTACTTTTAAGCAACCTGCATAATATACTTCATGTTTCTGTGCCTCCTTGTAGGATTGACAGTTTGGCACTTCCCTACATGAAGATGATTATTTGACAAAAGGATGCAGTTCAGCAGGCGCACAAACAAAATAATTGTTCAATCTGCAAGTGGCAACAAAAATTGATATAAAAATCATATCAAAGGTAAATTGAGCAGAATCTCTGATTTTCGCACAGTTGTATTTCTTGGTTAGTGATAGCAATTCAGTTATTGATTTCATTTGTTTCCTAGAGATGATTTTCAAACAAGGAAGTAGAAAAGTGTAAATTGTGGCTACTGCAATTCTGCACACCAAAAATTGAGAAACAAAGGCCATAGATAATAGTACAACAATAAGATGCATTACATGGCACATATCATGATGACCTTTTTAAGTGCCACGTTACTGATATAAATGGTGTGGGCCATACATTATAGTAAACTGAGATTCCTCCTTTTACAGCTGGCAAATAGCCAAGCAGAAAAATATCACTTTTTCATCCTGTCTACTGAATTAAAATTAAACATTCTTCTGGGAATTAGCTTCTATCTCATATTCAGTTTCCTGGAGCTGAAATTGCAAACAAAAAGAAAATAAATGGATCTTTTCTAGGCTATGTTACAAATTAATATTTGACAAATTTGATGGGGCTTGTGGGCCCTTTTTGTGGTCACACATTAGTTTTCTCTCTCCAAGAGGTAACAGTACCCCAAATTTGGAAATGGTCGATTACTTGTAAATTAATGTGATTTATATTCCAAAGTTTTTATAATTAATCAAGAATGATAGAGGAAAATGTAAAAAATGTTGTTATAGGCAAATAATTAAAATTGTAAGCATTCTTTTTGCAGTAAACTTAGCTAGACATGTAGGGTTTTGAAAGATTGCATGCAACAACAAATATTTTTCTCCCACCATGTCAATTTGCT